ACCGTTTCGATGTGGTTGGATTCTCAGAAAACAGGTTGGAGTTGCTAAATGAACATGCTCGCCTCTAACATAGATTGTGAAATTGGAGTGCTGTAAAAGCTGAGAAATTGGCATAAAACTCTTGCACAAAAATAGTTTTATAATGCAGAATCCTTAATTCAGATATTTTAAATTAATCCTTAAATGAGAAATACCCATTACTTTTTTTTTAAACAATATTACTGATTTCCTCCCTCCCCCTCAAGGCTAATACGTTAATTTTTGAATACTCTGCATCACTGTATTTTTTATATATATAGTTTTGTCTGCATGAGCCCTTCTGGTCCTTTTAAATGCCTCTTAACTGTGCTTTGAAAATGTTAGTGGAAAGGTAATAATGTACTTTGTACTTAAATAAAATATTCCACATTAAAGTCTGCATTACTTTATATTGACAGGTATCACGAGTTGAAATTACATAGAAAAGTCTTCCAAGCACAGACTGCAAAATGAGCTTACTTCCACTTGATGCTGAAAGGAGGTACTGTTTTCAATTGATTTGAATACTGACAAGATCGCTCCTTTCAAGGTGGTTTGGATGCTCTTGTTGCCTCCAGTTTGATGTGAGGTGGAAGTGGGTGGATAGGTAGCGAGGTGGAAAAAACATGTAGACGTGGCACTTACCATGCTAGAATCAGCATTTTTTTTCCCCCATCTCTCCTCCTGTGCTTTGGTGAAAGATGAGGCAGTACCTATAAAAAACATTTTGTTCAGATTCTAGATTTAGAAGAGCAGCTAATACTTTGTCTCAAAGTTGAACTGGAATTTAACTTACGAAGATATAACTGTTGCAGGCCTCTCTGTGGATATTCTTTTATTTCTGTGACTTCATTTTGATGTAGCTTCAACTGAATGTCTTAGGTAATGCGTTTTCCTTACAGGTATGAGGTTTTTGCAGTCCTGGATCTTGCAGGATTGTCTGGAGAGGAGGCATTTAAGGACTAAAGTTTGTGGTTATCACTTCAGTGTCAGAATACCAGAGTGGATAACAAGATCCACTTCTAGAAGATGCTTGTGCATCATTTTGTGTGACTCAGCATTCATGCATGCCCCTGTAAAATCATCAGCTGCATTTTGTTTATATATTGAGGATGCTAGACAGGAAAGTTGAGACCTCAGGAGAGTGGTAAACTGGAAACAAGATACAGTCTTACAACTTATCTTGCTTTGCTGTTATGGTTTAACCCTGGTCGGCAGCTTTAAAGAGGCCTGTTGATAGGAATAAATACAGCAAGGAACAAGGTGTGAGCATTATGAATTGTTGTGGTAGGTTGAATCTCATCTTGGTGGTTGTACTTTGGAGCAAGTGAGGTGGGTGTTGGTCTCTTCTCCCAAGTAACTAGTGATAGGATGAGAGGAATTGTCTTCAAGTTGTGCCAGAGGAGGTTTAGATTGGATATTAGGAAAAATTTCTTTACTGAAAGAGTGGTCAGGCATTGGAACAGGCTGCCTCGGGAAGTGGAGGAGTCACCATCACTGGAAGTGTTCAAAAAACATGTAGACGTGGCACTTCGGCACATGGTTTAGGGGCCACAGTGGTGTTGGGTTGACGGTTGGTCTTGATGATCTTATAGGTCCTTTCCAACCTTGATGATTCTATGATTCTATGATGATATAAGTGGCCATACATGGGTTTGGTTCCCTGCCCCTCCCCCCCTTTCAATTAAATTGTATTAAAGTTTTACTTAAAAAGTTAATGCAGTTCTTTCAGATAGGTACACTACTAAATTGGAGCACTTTGCACCTCTATGCTATTATGGTGTTTGCAGAGATGATAATGAGTTGCTCTTAAATCACAGTTTCTTTGTTCTTTATGGGTCTAAGGCTAAGGATCTGTTTGTCACCCTTGCTGTAATGAGTCCCCATAGGCAGTGACCAATATTAAAAGTCACTTAAGTAAATTAACAGTCACATGCTGATATGCAATTGAGGGGCTTAGATGCTTTCTATGCTGGTGTCTTGAGCGTTTTCTCATTGTGTTGGCCTTTGCAAGGATCTTTCATGTCCATGTATTTATAAATTATTTACAAGTAAAATCTTTTTAAAATTGGAGACAGAAAATTTGGAAAACAAAGATACAGTTAACGTGTTTTGCACAGCTTCCTGAAGGACAAGTTTGCTAATTCTGCTGGATGCAGACTTAGGGACCCAATACATCTTTAAAACCCGTTCCTCCAGCATTTAAAGTTGTCATTGTGCCTAAGGCAATTAAAAGGGCAGGATACAGTTATGTGTTTTGCACAGCTTCCTGAAGGACAATTCTGCTGGATGCAGACTTAGGGACCCAATACATCTTTAAAACCCGTTCCTCCAGCATTTAAAGTTGTCATTGTGCCTAAGGCAATTAAAAGGGCAGGTTCTGTGAATATAGATATCCTGCACAGAACAAAATGTTAGTATCTTAAATTAGGTCCACATGTTTTATATTTCTGTTTTCAAGATGGTAATTTTAGAAATTTGGAGGAGAAGTAGTAAGTTGTACTTCAACTGTGGGAAGATAAATATTAGGAAAGCAACTTGGAAACCAAACCTTTTCTTTTTTTAGTAGTTCACACCACAAACATGGTTCGTTGGTAGTGTGGGGTTGTTTGTTCCAATTTTTTTTTTTATTTATTTCTTAAAAGACTTCACAGATGTTTTTCCTTTGAGCCCAGTAAGCTTTGAGCTGAAGCAGTTTTACAAACTAAGTACGTAGGCACTGTCATCAGTGAAATTGCCATTGTCTCTGCATAAGTGAGACTTTTGAGCTTCTGTGGTTGTATCACAGGGGCATTTCATATAGCTGAGACTGGGAGAGAAGGCACTACAAGGCTAAAGTTGTTAGGTGCGTGAACAAACATCTGCTTTATAGATTGTTTGCTGTTTCAGATTTGTGGATTTTGGGTGGTGTTTCTTTGTATTTTCTGCTTAAGAAAGAATGTAAAGACCTTGTGTGGTTGCTTGAAACTGTACTGACCAGAATAGAAATGCTCCATACACTGTCACGTATTGTAACTACAAAATCTAGAGGCTTCTTCCCTTCTTTCCGGAGTTCTTAAGCTTTACCACTTCAATATTTGAAGGGGGGGTGTGTGTGTGTGTGTGTGTGCATTTTGAAAGAATAAAACATTTTAAAAGTTGAGTTTTAGCATACGATATTAGAAAGACATCCACTCTTGTTGCTGGAGATCAGTAATGGGTGCAAGATGTAAAGCTTAACCTATTGGATTGCTTAGTTATTCCTATCCTGCCCTAAGTTTAAGTAGTCTTTCTTTCTTTTGTGGTTAAATCTGTCTTACAGATAATACATTATCTTATAGATAAATCTATCTTACAGATGTAAGTGGCTCCTTATGTCTGGTTTTGTTGCTTGTTTGACATCTGTGTAATGTTATCTTGGTTTTGACAGAAACTTCATTTTCCAAAGGTCTTTGCTGGAATTCTTGGTCAAGCTTTACTGCAAGTTTTGTTGTTGCTTTTTTGTTTTAAGTGATCTCTCTAGCGTAGGCAGAGGGATGCTCTTGCGTTTACATTTAGAATGTCTGTAGGAAACTTGGATTTATATGTGTATGCTGCTGTCCAAATGGTATGTTTTGTAAAATCCTTTTTTCGTCTTCTTCACCAGCCTTTTCCACCCTTTACAGGTAAACTGAAACTTCAGGAATGATCATCAGCTCATGGGCGAGTTACCATATACAAGGCAAGTAAATAAAGACTATGGTATGAGTGCTTTGTCAGATAAACTGTCCAAAAGAAGTAAATACTTGGAGGCTGTTAAATTAACGTGAACTCTGCTCTGCATGTCCCCCCCTACTACCCCAACACTTCTGCATAGGAGATGTTTCAAAAGAAGGAGCTGATGTGGCTTATTTGTCACTAAAGTGAACTCTACTGGGTATAAAAGTAAGTCAAGGCCATTTGTGTTTTTTAGGGAATATCATTTCTTCTTCCAGCCATTTCTAGCTGGGTAGAAGGCAAATTGGTCCTATTGACTAGGACCTGTGCAATGAATGTTTTGCAGTGGACTGCTACATGGGAAACCAGTTTGCTTTAGAGTGAAAGGGAGCAGCATGTAGAATAGTCAGGAATTGAGGAAAGGCAAGACAGCTAAATGCAGACCTTAACCTACAAGGAGCTGCCGGAAGGTAAAGGAGTTGAGTGTTTGCCAGCTGGCTCACAGTAGAAGGCTTGGGAAGGGCTCTGATGACGTCTTGCCAAGGCAAAGCAGGTGCAGCTGAGAGGGGAGCAGGACTTGGTTAAGATTTAGAGGTTTCATGGAAGCCACTTGAGGGCCATGAGGGCAGTGGTTATCTGTTCAGTCATGTCTTTGTTGGAGAAAGCTGCAAAGACGACCTGAGGTGTGAAATGAAACTACAATTCTTGAACACTTTGTTTTGTGTCTGACCACAGCAATTCATATTAGCTGCGGTTTCCACACACATTTGACTTTAGACAGCAATTTAAGTGCCTGTGAAGTTGCACTGGAGTTGCAGTGTGCTTGTTTTCCAGCAAAGAACTAAAACTTCATCTGCTCTTAAAAGCCATGCTACCTCAACTGTTACAAGAACAGTTCAAAGAATGAAACCTCATACATCTCTGTGATTGTGTCTCCTGTAAACATGTGGAAAGAAGTAGCTTAATTAAGCTTGTTATCTAAATTATACAGTATAGCTTAAATCACTGTATGCTAACATAACTTGTCTGTGCTAGAGGGAGGGGAGGTTAACTATGCTGCCAAAGGAAAATTACCCTTTATGCAAGAGTTATTCTACTAGAAATTTGGGAAAATTCCAGTAGAAAGCTGAAAACTGAGCAGCCTTCAGTGGAGGCCAACAGTTGCTGTAGTTGAGACCTTCAAAGGCTGAGGCTAAATTACCAAACCCATCTTTTCCCTCTCCGAGATGACTAATGCTTCTCCTGATTTTTTAAGGAGTAACGAAGGGTGCAGAGGACATTGCAACTTAAACACTCCTACCACACTAATGGAAAAAAATTCTTCTTTGCAGCAAAAGATGACATCTACATTTTTGCTCATTGGTCATCTCATTCTACTGATACCTCTGTTCAGTGCTGGTAAGTTAAATATGTTGTTGAAATCACCATTTTAAAAAAAGAAAACGTGCAGGAGATGAGTTGTGTGTATGTAGTAGTAAAGAGTTACTGAGGGCAAATAGTGGATTTGAGGTTTGGTTTTGCTTCAGCATACTGAAGATGTGCTGAATGCCTCTTCTTGGATTGAAGTTGTACTGGGGATGGAATGGACAGATTGACATAAATATTTTTAAATTGAACCACATAAAGATAGGGTACTGGGGCTTTGATTAGCCTCTCCCTGATTCCTATGAAGAAGTCCAAACTGATTTGATTCCTTAAAGTCATCTCTTGAATGCCTTCTTTAAGAGGCATGCTGTAGCTCTAGTCCTGAAAGCAGCGGGGCTCAGTTTCCTTTGCAATTAATTCGTAATATTTTTAATGGTAGATCTAATTTTTCGGTAAAATTTAGGACTACATAAATTAGTGATGCTGCTCTTGACATAAGCAGTCTAACATTAATGTTTCTGAATTAGCTTAAAATCCATAAGGACCTACCTGGAAATTTTTAAATTAGGTGACAGGAAGGTGGTGGGACTGGAAAGGTTACTGAAGACTTTTTTATTTTGAAAAGCAATACATTAGCCTTGTGTTTATACAGTCAGTCAGCAAGACTTGTAAAATCAATTCAGTTAGATGTTTTGCAGTTTCATGGGAATTCAGTGTTGCATATGTATGCAAAAGTTTGGAAGCCTTTAAAACCTGCTTTATAGCCAAATGGCCTGCTCTGTGCTAAGCTAGTATTCTCCAAGTAGTTTTCGCTATAGCTTTCATAGATAGTATCTACATTAAGAATCTGGTAATTCTGCAAAAGTATTAACATGCTCAAATAACAGGGGCACAAAAGATGAGTTGTGAAGCTTGTGTTGCCTGGTGAATCCCATGTGTCTTCTTATGTCTTGGTTTGCACTGAGGCTATTGGACTTACATGTGCTTGTTGGTGACTAGCTTAATAGAAGGAAGCTGTGGCTTAAGCTTTGTAAAATGTGGTTTAGATCCTCAACCAGAAGGTGCTAAACAAACAAAAAAATGGTAGCCTGGTGATGTTTTGATGGTAAATTGTTTATTTTCTAATTTTGTGCAACTTGGAATGGATATTAATACTTCTAAAACATAATAGTGTACAGATAATTGCATACTGATAATATACAGCACTGATAATTTTTTTCTTTTTTTTTAATAGAAGAATGCATTATTTGTGATTACTTTGTGCTTGTCGGAGAGCCTATAGCTATTAGTTGCCCAATAATTACACTGCCAGTGCTTCACTCTGATTACAATCTGTCGTGGTACAAAAATGGTAGTGCTACACCAGTAACCACAGAGAGAGATGCCAGGGTCCATCAGCGAGAGAGCTTGCTTTGGTTTATTCCTGCAACACTGGAAGATTCTGGACTTTATGAATGTGATGTAAGGTAAGGAAGGGCAGAGGGAAACAACTGCTTTGCTAATGCTTACAAGTGTGATAATATATTCATGGAACTTGAATATACAGAATTTTTTGTTTTAGGTGAGAACTTGGGTCAGTTAAAAGCACTGTTTTGACTATACTTTTTGTTTCTATGTGCTGCCCTTTTTAAAAATTCCACACGTAGCATTGCAAAAGAGGTTCATGCAGAAAACTCTTTATCTTAAAGCATGGTAATACTGATAGTGGTCTGCGTGGTTGGTTGTTATTTTGTTCGTTTGTTTTGGATGAAGTGTAAGGTCACAGGGAAAAGTCTTAACTGCTTCAGCTTTTCCTGTGCTCAAATTGCTGTTTGATACTGACAGATGAGAAGAATATTTTGGTTTCTTCATTGGACATGGTTAAATGGAAGAAGGATCTGAGAGGAGCAAACTCTGTATGTTACGCAGTATCACCACATACAGGCTTTGTGGAGAGCTTAGCTACTTTTTGGGAATCCTTTTAGAAATTTACAAACTAAAAGGCAGAAAACCTTTCTAATGTTTTATTTTAAGGCATTACTAAATGCTATGGTCAAAAATGAGAATGCATGTGAAGTGCAAAGCAATGTGCTAGACAGCTTTAGAGCCAGTGAGAATAACGTGTGCCCAGTACTGTTCAAAAGATCTGAGTGCACAGAGAAGAAGGAAGAAGAAATAGATTCTTTTAAACTCTTTAGCACTTTAAAGCTTTTGCTATATTTAAAGCTCAAATTAGTGTACTGGACTTCACCACTTCAGGTGGTGCTGGTGTAATGGCTGAAACTCACTGTGTGCTGAACAGGGAATTAATTTTGCGAAGGTGCAAAGAAGTTGTTCTTTTCCTGATGGTCTTGCCACAGCACGCTGAGAACAGCCAATGCAGGCTTTCTGAGTGACCCAAAATTTGTTTCACTAGTGCGTAGTTACGTGTATTGGTGTGCATACAGTACATCAGTTATGCTGAAGGGGTTTGGGTTGTGAATGTATTAACAGTGATCAGCAAAAACTTCCAGCATAGGCACAGGTCACAGGCCTTTGCACCTTCCTGCTCCAGAGTCAATAATGAAGCTAAAATTGGAAGTCAGAATAAATGTAATCCTTGCAAAGCTACCCAGTTAAATAATTTTAATTTAGTCTTTCCTACTATGTTTCTAGTTACTCTAGCTATGAGATGCGTTCTCGTGGGCACCTCATGTCCCTGGCTTGCATAACAGGGACAAACAGGACAAACATAACAGCAGGAGAAAAAACTTGCTACAAGTTCAGTTGTGTTAACCTGTAACCTGCATTTTATGTGTCAGTCGCTTAAACCTTAATTACAGAGCTTGTCAAAGTTCAGTATATAGAAGCTGAAGCCAGGACTATCAAAACATGCAGTTCACTCTTCTGGAAACTTCTCCCTTAGCATATCACTAAGAAATGAAGAGTTGAGCCCTGAATTAATAGAGAGTATTCCTTTACTTCTGGCTTAGGCTTTTGGTTTCTAGTGCCATCTCTCCTCTGCAGTGATAGTGTACCACAGGTTCTTGCAAGCTGTTGGTGTGAAGTGGTTTCACGTTGATATTGCACCTTGATGTATATGTTACTCAAAAGCTTTATCTCTCTTCTAAGAGTTCCAGCCTGTTTCTCTTGATAAGTCCCTCCAAGGAATGCTGAGATGAACCTATTGTCTTCTGTTGTTCATTTGGCACTGAGGGTGTTCCAGTGCAGCTATGTTTTGGGTTACCTTGCACTACTGTATGTTGGCAGACGTAGTGTTGAAAATGGCAAGGCCTGGGTTGGTGCTGTGGGCTCTGTAGAGCGTCAGCTCTGAGAAGTCCTGGCTTCCCTTCTGGTGTTTCCAGAGCAGACTCCACTTCTGCTCACAACACAAAGTCAGAGCTTATTCCCATCTCTTTCAGTCTGGAACAGGGCTGAAGCGCTGAGGGTGGTATTTAGGAGCTAGGGGGGCTGTAGCAGGAGTGTTAGAGGTGAGGCTGCTGAAGACGCTGAAGTCCCTCTCGGTAAACTCCCTGACCTACTGGAAACAGGGAACCTTGTTGGTAATGACCTGACTTGTCTGCTGTTCTCGTTACAGGAGCCTTAACCACTCTAACAAAAAAACTATAAATTTAACAGTTTTTAAGAATGATAATGGTTTGTGTTTTAACGGAAAAATGAAGTTTGAACAAAAAGTGATGAGCACAAATACTGGAAAGATTATATGCCCTGATCTAGAACATTTTAAAGATGAAGACAATAATCAGCCTGAAGTACACTGGTATAAGGTATTGTGCATGTGTATATCAAGATAGGAAATACTCTATTTAAAATGTGTTATAAAGGAACTGTGAAAAGCAGCTTTTGGAAGGGAAGGTTTATTTTCCATCCTACACTACTGGGGAGATGTAAGGTATGGGAGGCATATTTAAAAAAAAAAAAAATTCTCTTTTTGGATTGCTTGTTTTTTCAAAGTAAAAAACGTGTTTTGGCGTGTTGATTTGTGAAAATCTCATTTATCCTGTGATAATTTTATGTAGACAATAAGTTTAAAAACTGTATGTTTCCTTAAATACAAGACTCTGCATAATCATTTCTATTTCCCAGAATATTAGGCTTGTCCTGTCTGTTGATCATGGTATTGTATTCTTATGCCTCTTGTTCTGATTCTGCCAAAACACTCTGTAGTCTATGCAAGCTTAGAAACATGGATTTTGTCCATGTTAAGGTAAAATTCTAAAGTAGCTCAACTTATAATTCTAATGCCGGTATTAAAGTAGCTACGTGGGCCTGTACATGTGAAATAAACTTGGTCCTGCACCTATACATCTTGTTTGGAGATGAAGTGATTCTAAACTGCTTATAGGTCAGGGAGGACAAGGAAGTTTTTTCGCTGTATTTGCATTGCCACAGAAATGGTAATATACTCAACAGAACAAGGCATTGCTACAGCAGCCCTGATTCATTTCACTGAAGTAGAAACGTAGGCATGTATTCTCATAAATTCTGCTACATGTGTAATAACTTTTATTACACCTGGGGTAGATAACTGGCATTTAATGAAGGCAGTGAAATAAAACACAGCATTTTAAAAATTAAAGGATTTGCTGCAGTGATTTTTAAAAAGTGCAGATGCAGTAAGACGTCATCGGGCTTCATGTTAGAGTGTAGTGATGCTTGGAAAAGAACTCGCATCATGTTTTTTTAAAAAAATCAGTATTTGGCAAGTATTTTAATAATCAGTAGAGTTCAGTAACTTAATTATCAGATTACTAGTTCCCTTAAATCACAGGAACTTTTGATATATTTAGGAGTGTAAGCCTGGATTTCTTGAAGACAAGCGACTTCTTTTGGCAGAGGGTGAAAACGCTGTCTTGATTCACAACGTGACTGTACAAGACAGAGGAAACTACACATGCCGTATAGTATACACGTATATGGGAAAACAATATAATGTTTCACGAACTATGAGTCTAGAGGTTAAAGGTAAGTGCACTGAGGTTATTCTCTTTTTAGCTCTGCTGTAAATATTTGTATGCAGACATAAGCTATTTGGCATGTTACTTTTCAACTCTGTGAAGTTAGAGTTGCAAATCTTCTTTAATTAATTACTTCCTGAATGCTAAAATTAAAATACAATAATGCATGTTGCTACCCTTGAGCATTGCTTCTGAGGGAGAATTGTCACAGGGAAATGAGAAATGTGAGGTTAGGAATGAGAACTATAAGGAAGCAGTGGTTACTGGGGTAGGGCGGTTTGGTTTTGCTAAAACAAATAATGCACCGTTAAATTCAATACCTTTAAAAAAAAAAAAAAAAGAATTTTTGCTGAGACCATCACAGGAAAATACCTGCTTGTGGCCTTGTTAAAGTTGCTTACAAAGTTCACTGGAATCTCAACTGATGGGAAAGAAGATGTGACAAGCTGTATAAATACTATAAAGTTAATGTATCTTCCTCTGGAAAGGATTGGCTTACTGTTGGCACCTGGTTGTGCTTTTCTGCACCTAACGGGACATAGAACTGGCTGTACCAGCATAGTAGTTCTGTCAGAAAAGTTGGCTGGAAGTAGAGCATCCAACTTTCTGAATTAAATCAAAATTTTGACTTTAGATAGGTGATACAAGAACATTGGGTTGTTAGCAGTGAGTCTATATATCGTGCAGAATGATACAATTCCAGCCCAGTTTAAGTTTGTGCTTGTTTAGTCTTTTACTTATATAGCTACTCACCTGATCTAGGAGGTTGGTGAGACAATCCCTCTTTCTCTTCCTTATCCATCTCTCTGACAAAGCTCATTGCATTTTTTTGTTTTGTTTCTGTTTTCTGGTTTCGTATTACTTTTATAACAACTGCCAGTAAATTTGAGATTTTTTTCCGAAGTATTTTTAAGGTAAGCTAAAACCTTCTGTTAACTTGGAAGGTAAAATAGAGTAATTTGGATAGAGTACAGCAAATCTCATGAGATATTTTCTGTTGTAAATTTGAAACTGGTGGTAAGTATGGTGTTACAATAGTACCAAACAATAAAACAAAACCATTGTAAAACTATCAGTTGAAGTAAGTTGTGGGACTCTTCTTGCCTAAAGATTTTATTTTTCTCTTTGTTTCTGTTAGAAAGACCACTGCGAATAAGACCAGAGTTTATTTATCCAAAGAATAATACAATTGAAGTAGAACTTGGTAAGTAGTGACTATTTAAGAAGTCATTAACATTCAGTAAAACAAATAAGCTCCTGGTCTTTCTGAAATAACACGTTAACAGTTCCACTGACTTTAGCAAGACTGGGAGGTAGGTACATGGATTGAGGATATCTGGAAGACAGAGGGTGGAACATGATTCCCTGAAATAATTTGCAGGGGCAATAACTGTGTGCTTAAGATTAGAGTCTCTTGACCAGCATGTTGGGTGGATGCATTTATTTTTTTTATTCTATTGCCATCTGTCCTTTGCACCACTTCTCGGTGTGTATGTCTTGACATATCCTCAGTATCTGTGGAAATACGGTTACATATAGGTAACATGTTAGGATAGTTACCAGTTGAGCAGTTCAGTAGTTTTTCCTCCTCCTGTATGTTTCCTGCCTACTTTCCCTCTCCACAACCTGGATTTTATTCCTTGTTCTAAGGTATTAAAGGGTTTCAGATACTGGCCTTTTGTGAAACAATGAACTGCTAGTTGATGGATATCCCAGGTATTGTTTATCTTAGAAATTTCTTAAAGAAGAGATTCTGGATATAATGAATAACTTCCTCCCAGTCAGGACAGACAGACAGTGCAGCAGGCTGCCGAGAGAAGTTGTACAGTCTCTGTCCTTGGAGGTTTCGGAGCCTGATAGGATAAAGCTCTGAGCAGCCTGGTCTGACCTCAGAGCTGGCTCTGCTTGGAGCAGGAAATTGGACTAGAGAGCTCCCAAAGTTCCTTCCAACCTCAATTATTCTGTGATTCTATGGGCCAAGTATATGGTATGCAAGTCTTTTCCTAAGGAAACCTATACGTCTTTAGATTGCACCATATATCGGCCAGAGTTATGTTCTACTGACGTAGCCCAGAAGAGTAAGTTTTGGAGCTGCTTGAACTGTAAAGAGTATTTGATTAAAAAGGGCATTAACTGATTTTGGAGAAGTGTGATTGGCTATTTACTAGATTTACTAGTACAAGATCTAAGCTGTTTTGTAATCCTTTGAGGAAGGATTATTGCCAATTAGGTAATTAGAGAAGCTCTGAGGAAAGGTTGCTTTGGGGTTCTGGCACTATACAGGATCTGAGGCCAGAGCACTGTGGATTATTTTTATGTACATCTCATTGATGGTAGTCCTGCATAACATGGCTACTTCTGCTGATGATTTTTCTGACATTGAGCTTGTAAATACTGTGTATGATTCTTTTCTCACATTGAGGCTTCACGCTTCTTTTCACATTATGTGAAACATTTGTCTGGCCCAAATTCTAACTTTGAGTATATGGAACTAAACTAAAGTGAACAGCACTGAAGTACTGGTGGGTTTTGTGGTTTTGTTTATTTGGGTTTTTTTGTTGTTGCAATTGTTTTGGTTTTTTGGGTGTGGTTTTTTTTCTTTCCGTTTTGACCTCAACAACTTGTGAAAGATACCTCATTCTGAAGTTGCCAGGTTCTGGTGAGGGTCAGTAGATTTTGACCAGAATGATGAATGAGCTTTACTAGAAATTATGTTCCTGCAAAGTCCAGAAGGCTTTGTTTTAAACAGTGGGAGTATTTAGGATCTGATACAAACAGTATTATTTTATAGACATACAGTCCTGCAGTCTTCAGAAGGTTATTTAATTCTGTTGGAAACATTCAGAAATGGCTCAGCAGCCTCTTCTTTTCTGGTAATTACATCTTCTTCAGCTTCATTGCAATTACATGCCTGAAAAGCTTTTGTGCTCTTCTAATGTGCTCTTCCACTAATAAGGAAATTTGTTCACTAGATCTTAGACTGAAATAGGGAGACTTGCCACAGTAATTTTTTTACCTTGCACAACCCTAATCTTTATGTGTGAAAACTTTCCTTTTCCTTTGTAATTGTAACTGTGGAAGAAATGAAGTAATATTATGGTGGTGCTTCCCTGTAGTGCATCTCCTACCCATCAAAATATGTAAATCTTGTCCCCAGTTCTGACTGGTAATTAGTTATGACTTCCCATTTAATTCAGAAAAATTCTTACCAATGCAACTTCTACTCAGAAGGAGTCTGATCTGCATAGGCCCTTAAAAGAGTCTTTAATTTACTGAAGACAGCCTTTAAGATTTTCTTAATCCTTCATAGTACCTGCTGAGAAAATGGAAAATAGAGCAATTCTTAGTACAGGGGCTGCCTGTGACCCTCAGCCTCTATTAAGATGTGTCATGCAACAACTTGTTTAGACTCCTTAGTTTAGAATAGCATTTGGCCCATATTTGTTATGGCTTGTACACTGCATTAATTAAAAGTTCTGATGTATTACTGGGTGCCTTAGACCAGCTAAAATGAACAAACCCAGCTTTGATTGCATTACAGACATTAGGAAAGCAGTCACACATGAGACTAAAAGGAGACACAAAGCCTTTGGGAGCAGAGTGTGAGGATATGCAGAAACCATCCCAGCGGACAGTGTTGGCCAAAAGACTCTGATCTTGACTAAAGATACGCATGATCACTGAGAATGGGATTTAGCTCCAGGGTGTAATTGTCTACACATGGGTATCTGCATATGAGCTAAGGGCCTTAATTCATGTTACTATCAACAGGGGCACAATTCAGTTGCCTACACATAGATGTCTAGTGCTGTGTTGGGTGGTCTGGCTTGGGTGGTCTGGGTACTCTAGTAGTGCAGGTTTCTTGAAGATCTGAAGTCCTATTTCCCAGGTCTGTATGGATGCCTTGAATGCTAGAATGCATCTCAGATGTCACCATACTGTGCACATGCAACTAATTTGAGTCCTGCGATCTTGCAGTGGAGTCAGTAGAGCCTGCATTCGGTTGATAATGTCCAGGTATCTCCTTTAATGTGAGTGGACTCCAGCAGAGCTGAACTCTGTTACTAGCTTAGACATCTAGCTCACATGTAGACATGAACATTTAGACACCTACACTTAGGGTGGAATTTATATCCAGATTGGAGACACCCAAGTGCAGATTACAAATGGATGAGTTTTAAGGACTCTGCTTTTTATAAGGTAAGTGGGGTTTTCGATATCCCTCCTTTTCCCAGCTGTTCCCTAATCACTTGATCCTGCTTCTGTTACAAGACCTTCAACTGCCGTATTTAAATGTTTTTTATAGGCTCCCATGTAGTTATGGAATGTAATATATCAAGTGGCATAAATGGCTTGATTCCATTCTGGCAAGTTAATGATGAGGGTGTTGATAGCTTTGATAGCACCTACAGGGAACAGTTTTATGAGTAAGTATCCTTATACATTGAATTTTAAGTGTATTTCTACATGAAGTAATCTGCAGTAATTTGCAGTGAATTCACCATAAAGTTGACTACTAGTCAACTGTCAGTAGTCATTGAAAGACTGATTAGAAGTCTGCATCAAGTACGTTATATCCTTATTGCTCGGTTTTAAAGAAAGTAAACATTTTATTATAAATACTGATATACCTGATACAAATGTAATGAAGCAATCATATGTAAGTTTTTATAATGTTGTTGTGAAACATACAATTTTGTAAGGCTTATTTATGCATTTGTTCTTATGCAATCCTTTTTGCTAATAGAATTAAAGCCTGCCCTCTATCATTAATATGGGAAGGATAGATTATTCCAAGACAAAAAATCATCACACTTTTATTTGTGGAGTGGTTCTTTTCTAAGTACAGACACAGCTGCTAATCCTCAAGAACACAAAGCAGAAGCTCTTGTTGCAGGACATTTAGGGTTTTTTTTATGTTCAGGTCAATTAAGCACAAATTAGGCTGATAAAACCAGCAATTTCTTTAGAGAGAGGAGGACCTTTGTTACTCAGTGACTGGTCTATGCTGTAGCAGAGTGTGGATGTACTGTTTGTTTTCTCATTGTATCAATCACTGCTGTTAAATATAACCCTTAAAATGTAGTGCAAAGAAGAAAGAAAAAAAAATCTCAGCTGATCACTTCACAGTCATGCAGAAGCATTGCTGTCTCCATGAAGTGGAAAGCAGTATAAAATATGGCTAGAGTTAGGTTGCAGGCTGCTTTTAAAACGATCTTTTTTATTCATCTGTATCTGTATCTCCAGAAGGAATCTTAGTTCTGCTTTGTCCCCAAGTTCTTTTAGGGGGAATTACTACTTTCATGATAGATCTGTATACTGGGTTGTTTGCCTATAAGTATTAGGGCCCCAGCTTATGGTCTCTAAGGCACAACTAAGTCCATTACTCTTTAGGGCATGAAGTTTCTCAGCTTCACCAGTTAAGAGACATGTGCAGCTCTGTGTAGTTATGTTTAAAGTTATTGTAACTGCAGCTTCTGAAACCAACTTGGTGCTGCTATTAAACACATCTTCCTGAAAAGCATTTAATATATTTAACTTAAAGCAATTCTCTGTTGAGGTTTTTGGCTTGCTTGGAAGTGATCTCCATTTCTAGTCACTAACCTACTTGATAATTTTCCCATGCCAGAGATGGAGATGTGCAAAATACATCCTGTGCAAGTTCTAATTAGGATCAGTAGTTCAAAGTAAGTTAACCAGGATCAGAGAAATGAATCTAATTGCAATAATAATATTTTATTTCAAAAAATAGTATCAATTTCTCAGCAATTAAATTTGTGGAGCATTTGCTAGTGGCAAAGCACACTGTAGGCATGGCCAACATTATGGACTTGAGGGCTTACACCTAGGAGGTAACTCTTTCCTCTGCTGGGAGGAAAGTTACAACTGACTTGAACAAATCTGAACATGCTGCAAAATGATGAGGTTTGTATTGGCATCCCATGACAGAAGTTGCTGGCAATTATATGTGTCAGAAAAACTGGTTCTTCAGGATGTTCTGCAAAATGAGTTTTCCTCCTTAAGTACACGGTCACATCACTTTGGTATATAGGGTAGGATGCCAGTTTGTAGGTACTTTCCTACTGTGGCCCCTCTCACCTTACACTTTGAAGTCTACCTTAGAGCAGGGTGGTATTTAGCAGGATAGCATATTATATCGCCAAACCTGTTGTGGCAATAGATGCCAGACATAAAGGCAGTATCACCATGTTTGTTGTCATTTGACACCAGGGTCACCCAGCTTTTGTGACTTTTGTTCATCATTATTTCCTAAATTGGTTGGCACCATTGACTGTGGGCCCTGTGAGCTTGGAAAGTCTGTTAGTGTGCTTAGATAGGTTTCTGCTTCGTCATCAGTATAAAGAATCCTGGAAAATGATTTTTCTGCTGACACTTTTGTTACTATGAATAATCTTTCATTCACAGAATCATTTAGGTTGAAAGGGACCTCTTGAGATTGTCTAGTCCAACCCCCCTGCTCAAGCAAGGTCAGATAAAGCAGGTTGCTCAGGGCCGTGTCCAGTTGGGTTTTGAATATCTCCACAGGTGGAGACTTCGCAGCTTCTCTGGGCAACCTGTTCCAGTGTTTGACCACCCTGACAGTAAAAAAGTGTTCAGATGGAATTTCAGATGGGGAAGTGTTTCAATTTGTGCTCATTGCCTCTTGTCCTGTCAGTGGGCACTGCTGAAACGAGCCTGCCTTTGTCTTCTCCACTCCCTCCCGTCAGGTATTTACACACATTGATAAGATCCAACCCCCATCTTCTAGCCTTCTCTTCTCCAGGCTACACAGTGCCTGCTTTCTCACATGACAGATGCTCCACTCCCTTAATCATTTTCATGGCCTTGCGCTGGATTTGCTCCAGTAAATCCATACATTTCTTGTACTGGGGAGCCCACACCACTACTGAAGGTCTGATCTCACCAGTGCTGAGTAGAGGGGAAGGACCACCTCCCTCAGTCTGCTGGCAGCACTCTTCTTAATGCAGTCCAGGATGGCTGGGGATGGGTTATTCCTCCTCAGGTGCAGGATTTGCATTTTGCTTTTAACTTCATGAGGTTACTGGCAGCCCATTTCTCCAGCCTGTCAAGGTTCCTCTGGATGGTAGTATGACCCTCTGCTGTTATCAATCAGCCATCTCTTTGAGCAGTTTTGCAGATGATACAAAACTAATGGTGCACTCTGTCCCACCCAGCAAAAAAATCCCAACAACGCAACATGTATGGAAAACGCCAAAGTCACCTCTGGTCATGAAACTAACTGTTACAGCGGTGATACTTACTGTGCTTCACTAGCTTCTTAGGTTTACAGAGGTAAAAAAAGAATGTTCTAGTATTTGTGGATAGATGAATCTATCCCATATTAAGCACTGATATTTCAGTTTCTCTACAGATGTTTTCTTTTTACCCTTTTTTAATGACAGAAAGGGGATGCCTCATGGACTTGCTGTATCTGGAACAAAATTTAACATTTCAAAAGTGAAAGTAAAGGATTATGCTCATAAATTTTTCTGTCACTTCATATATGGTTCTGAAGAATTTACAGCCTACATCAAATTGGAACGCCCAGGTAAGAGATCTCATCTTGATAAAATGGTGATCAATGATGCTTACTTCTCAGTTACTTTGACAACACCCTACTTAGAGCTAAAACTGCATGATGTACCATTGTGCAAAGTGGGCAATGCAGCTCAATACCTTCCTTTGTGAATTTTTTGTCGTATCCTTGGCAAAATTAAATAAAATGGCACTTTTAATTTGCTCTGTCTTCTCTCATTCAGTGTTTTAGGAAACATTAATGAAAGATTCCAGTTTATTTGAAGCAAGTATGAGACCTCAGTGGAATACTGTGCTTTATTTTACACATTTGTACTTTAAAAAGTATGTGGATCAGAGGAGATTGTGTGTCTAGAAGAGCAGTGAAAATGGCCAATTCTCTAAAAGACCAGGGGGAAGACATAACTAAGTGTGGAACAGACTGCCAAAAGGACATGAATGTATATGTGGACCTGGTTGTCCTATACTTCAGTAACAAATAGTGGGCTGAAATTGCCAGGAGGAAAAAAAAAATCTATTTCTGTAGTAGGAGAAACTCCAACAGTAGGAGAAACTCTAACAGTTATGATAGTGAAGGCATGAAATAGATTGCTTGGAAAGTTTATGGGCTTTCCATTACTGATGCATGTGCTGTGTTATCGCCTTCTAGATAGGCTCATGCATGTTGTTTGGGGGCATCAGGCCACTTGTTGGAGGCCCCAGTCTTGTGCTCAGAGGCAAGGATAAGTTTGATCTATTGCTGGCTAGCACGAAATTTCATTTTCAAGTAGAAGAACTTAAAGGTAAAGTGAGCTTTAAAAACTCAAAGGCAAGGCTGAAGAAATTAATTCTTTTTATTTAAAAACAGATACACAAAAAAGCAAATCACCAGATATTATAAGTGCCTATGTTTTTTTTAATTTAGCTGCAGAAGAGCCTCTGGTCTATTGAGCTTGTATTGAGCTGGCTTTGTCAGCTGTGAGCCAGTCCTTTGACAAATGTTATTCTCAAACTTACCTTTAACTGGCCACATTGTAAACAAACAGTTGCCTCGCAAGTGGATCTGAGCTCTGGCTTGTTACATAACTGTAAGTTCTTCATAAAGATTGTCAGGGTAGGACTTAACCTCAGAAATCTTTTAATATGCATGAACTAAAAAATACAGTTTGTGGAGGCTGTTTGTTTGTTTTGAGGATAATAAATCTATTACAACAAATTAGTAGGCTCAATGACAGATCTTCAAGGAGGCTAGAGGCAATGGAAGGCTGGTTGGCCTCGCGAGAATAGCGTGGTCAGAAAATCACCTCCCCACCTCTGACTTTTTTGCTTTTTGACTGATAAAATTTTGTACAAGAATTTTCAGTCTACTGCTGCATACGTCAATATTTTGGTGTTTCAGGTAAAGAGTGGCCTCATTTGTCACATTGCTAAGGTACCTTTTCTCTTAAAGGTAAAAGTAGGCTTATCAAATAACAGTATTTGCAGAAAGCATGCATGAAAAACTTTCAGTCCTACTCATTCATTCCTTTTTTTTTACAGTATTTTAATGACTAAAGAGTTTTGAACATCTCTTTTTGTCTTTCTCTGGTTCTAGTATATAACTGTGTTTTGTTTGTTTGTTTTCTCTCTTCTTATTCCACTCTACTGCAGCTTGGAACATTCAGGGTTACTTAATTGGAGGAGGAGTTTCTTTGGTATTTTTAGTATTTTTTACTCTCTTTATCTACAAGATCTTCAAAATTGATATAGTGCTTTGGTATCGGGACTCCTGCCATCTTTTCATGGGTAAAAAAGGTACATTTGTGTAACAGTGCTGTGTGTTGTAATGAGTCTTCACCTTCCCTTGCAAAGCAATGAGTTAACCTCGCGGAGTGTGATTGGTCTTCCTTGGGCTTTTTGAAAGGATAACATGTTTTTAGGATGTTTAGAATTAGTTCAGATAACAAAAGCATTTACAGGGGAAAAATCAGCAACTTTCCAGGAATCCAGTACTATCATTCCTTTCCCTGAAGACCCACTTTGGTAGTTTGAATGCTGTTTTGACAGCAGTTGGTCAGATTTCTTTTAATTACTGTGCTTACAGAAAGCAGTGAAATTGTTGTGCGTTTTTCATTTTCCATAGATGAACCAGGACAAATTGCACTTTCTTTTGTTTGCTATTTGAAAGCACTTATATTTTACTTTCTCTAAATTCCTGGCATGCAGAAAAATGTTGATAGGGGTGCTGTCTATGAGAGCATGCTGAAGAATGGGTCATTTCTAAACATCTGAGAGGAGGTACATGGCTAGAGAAACAGAAAATATTTTCCAGAGGTATTGAGGTTCTGTTAGATTTCTTTGAAGTCTTTTAAATTTGGTCTTTCTGAAAAGTTTGTTCCAAAATATCTAATACTATTCAGACCTTGAAATTTGCCAAATACTTTGTTTTTGTTTTCATGTCAAAGTGGTTGCTGTGTTTTGAAACTCCAGGTTAGAAAAATGACGTGTGAGTTACATGGCAGTTGAAATTTTAAGTATTCAGTTGTACTGTTGGAACTGCTACTCTGCAGATAATTCAGTGATAGTATTTTTTTATTCGGAGTTCAAAAAAGGATATTCAAACCTACTTAATTTTGCAGGTTTCTTTTGCGTGTTCAGATCCAGAATACTGAATTCTAGGCCTGATTCTACAAATATTTCAGGCTTAGCATAGCAGGATTAGAACCCAAAAGAATGATTCAAGTGGGGAAAAAACAGAGTTTAGAAATTTTTTTGTTTGTTTACTTGCTTTCGTGTCCTTAGAATCCATTTTATATTACTGCTATTGCTCACTCTTTAGTTTCAGATGGGAAGATCTACGATGCTTACGTTGTGTATCCAAAAAACAGAGCAAGCTGCTTGTGTTCATCAGATATTTTTGCTCTGAAGATACTGCCAGAGGTCTTAGAAAGACAGTGTGGATATAACCTCTTCATATTTGGGCGGGATGATTTACCAGGAGAAGGTAAGCTCTCTGAAGACAAATTACACTTGAGTTTTCTCATTGGCAGCTGCAAATACAACTCAGAAACAGGCAATCAATCAGATGTGATTCTAAATATCTCCCACCATCGAATGAGCTATAATTTTCTTATTCTCTCTGATGGCGGATCAGAAATACAGCAGTGGGTGCTCCCTGTTTATCTCAGCCTTTCCTTTGTCATTATTTAGCTCTTCCATGTTTTTTCAATGTCTGCCTAGCCTAGACATGTGGAGATGGAAGGATGCTGAGGGGAAGAGGAG